AATTGTTTTTTAAATAATAATTGGGGGGTGGTGTGTTGGTGACCAGTCAGTGAGACTGGTCAGGATCAGGCAGCCCTCAGAGCTGTTGCCCATAGGGTCAGTATGAGTCACAGGTGACTGGATGACACAGAACAACTAAAAGATAACAAGAAAGATAAGCTTTTGTGACTTGTTTGGGCCTGGTTAACTTGTAAAGCAAGATTAGCCCTGTACCAAAAGACCACGAAGACTAACACTATCTTGGCTATAGTATCTCCTTGGCAGAAAACAACTCAAGAAAGTAGGATGTTTAAAAGTAAGCCATACTGCAGCCATTTTATGCAAGTAGCCATTCTGTACCAGGTTCAAATGTGCAGATGTTTGAAGAGGAGCAAAAACAAGCTTAACTGTTCCTTGAACCCCAAGGCCAAGCAAGGATATACAGAATGCTTTGTCCCTCCCTAATGACTCTGTTCAGATGGCCTTGCTTGCTGCTAATAATAAAGCAAGTAATCTTGCAGGTGGCGGAAATATCAAAACAAATGTATTGTCGGCCTTGAGGCCGAGTTGTTTTTCTGTTCACTGCAAAAAGAATATAACACAGGAGTTCAAGAATAAACTCTGCTATTCGTCTTCAGCGGTAGCCTTTTCTGTGTCTTCATTTAATCCTGGTCCCTTCTCTCAGTGAAACTGCTCGATATAACGAGGCAGGACCCCATTAGTGACTAAATTGACTGAGGAAATAAAGCTTGATTTATATATGATTAAAAGCAAGGCATCTAAAGATAAATTATGTATTTTAACGTTCAACTTTACACTGAATATTATCTAATTATTAATTAGGATCCTTCTGGTGGCCTAGTGGTAAGAAACTGTGCTGCCATCCCAAAGACACATGGTTTAAATCCACCAGATGCTCTGTGGGAGAACATTGGGCACTCTTCTCTCATGCAATTTACTGCCTCTGAAAATCCACTGGAGAGTCAGTTATGGGCAGATTCCGACTCAGTAGAACACAAAAACAACAACAACAATCTTTAAATACTAAGTTTCTGAAAGACAAGCAGAAATCAAACAGTAACAAGTGTCAATTTCATTTTCAAAGTAATTAGGAGCAGGGACAAGGCTCAAAGTTTCCAAGATTGTACAAGGTACCAACATTTGATGTCTCTGTGCTGCAGAACAAAGAAATAGGTAAACGGTAAATGTAACCCTTTTCTTTACACCAAGTCCATTAATCTCTTAATCTATTTTCATTAATTAATTAATTATTACCTATTTATTGTTACCGATGTGATTTTTATAAAGATAATTTCACACAGAATTGTTTCAGATCTTTCCAAGACCATAAATAAAGACTCTCATTTCTCCCTCTAATGTAGAATGCAAATTCTGGAAATTTTACTAAGTGAAATAGACACTACCAATCTCATAGAAGTAAAGAATATTTAAAATCACAAAGAGAAGCTCTACAGAAAGACAATTAATTAGGGCTTCTATAAAAATTTTTTCTTTGTTTATTGATAGACATAAACAAGAACTTGAAACCATCAAATAGATGTTAGCATGGTTAATTTTTATTACCTAGCAAATACAGCCTAGAAGCTATTGTTGCTAATGCACAATTTAAAAGTCACTGCTCTTTGGCTTATTGGATCAATGTTGCAGGACAGATGAAAACTTCTTTCACATCTTTTGATAGATATAAATGAGGTCATGAGGGAGAGAAATAAAGGAATTGGTCCTAAGAAACGAACAGGCCTTTTAATGCACGGTCTGAAAGTGATGCCAAGTGACTGGGCAGCATGGCATGCTGACAGGATTAGTATGGGACCCAGGCAGTTTGGGAAGTTTCTTCTTTTTTTTTAATTTTTATTAATTTTAATGAAAATTTACAGAGACTTGGGATTTCCATTCATTCTTTGTTGCACTTTTCTCCCTACCAACTCCTCACCCCAGTATATTCTGCTCTTTGAAAAGTAAAAGAAAAATTAATTGTTTTACAATCCCTCCCCCCAGGTCCAATGCACCATAGAGCCTTCCTTCTGGACTCCTGTCATGACACTAATACCTAATCACATATGCCTTTTAAACAGTTATCTCCCTCATCTGTTTCAAAGCAGTATACATTATTTATCCCATCTTTCTCAGTCTCCCCCCAACCCCAGTGTCAGTCCTCTTTTACAGCAGTGGCACTATGCAATATTTGTTCTTTTGTGACTGAGATATTTCACTCAAGCAATGTTATTCAAAATGGGCATTCCTTTTTATAGGGGTCTTCGGGAGGACTAAGATGGTATGTCCTAGAATTTGGGTTGTTAATTAAGTTAGCTTCCGGCTATTTAGATCAGGCTCAGATCCTTATCAGGATCCATTGTTTGGTCTGGTCTTTGATATGATTAACTTAGATGTTTTCAAGCTTCTCAGGTGGGAGTGGGACAACTGACATATTCTTCCTTCATCTTTCTCCTGGGAAGTATTTACAAGTTCAGTCATCAATTTCAGTCAGCAACTGAATGATAATCATTGCACCAGGAAAATCAACTCAGCAGCCATGGGTTTGGCTCTGGACTTTTTAGTTAACTTGATGATGCAAAGTGTTAAGGGCTGAGCTGCTAACCAAAAGGCTGATGGTCTAAACTCATTCTGTTGCTTCAAGGGAGATGTGGCTGTCTCCTTTCACAAAGATTAAACTAAACTACATTCACTAATTGAGCATAGAAATGTTCCTTAAAGGTTTCTGAGATTATAATATTTATAAAAATAAATTGTGATATCTTTGTCATGAAAGAGTGACTTATGAGTGATTCATCTACAAACTTTTTGGGTCAGTGGCCAAGTCCTAAACCACTATGCTCCCAAAATTCCTTTTCATAAAGATCAAAGCCACGAAAACTCTTTGGAGTAGTTGTACTGTGCTATGGCTGGAAAAATGACTTGATCCTAATGTAACAGAGAGCTCTGATGATAGAATGAGGTGGTAGTTGTCTTGCTAACTAAATGGCAGCCCTTTCTAAGCCAGAAGTGAGTTCAAACAATAATTTTACAATATATGGAACTGATTGTAACATCAATTACTTAAAATCAGAGAAAAGTAGTATTTCAGCCAGAAATAAAGAGTGAATCATAAATCAATAAATACTTAAAACTTCAGTTATGTTCATCTTTTACAGAACATTCTCTCACTAATTAGCTAATTAGTTGACCAACTCAGTGACAATCAGTGCGTATCTATGAAATGCAGATAAGTTTGACAAAGGCATGGAAAGATCCAATTGATGGTTTTTTGAAGAGAAAAAAATATCTTTTATTTGGTATTAAATTATTTATAGGTTTAGCCAAAGCTTTAGGACAGAAACTCACCACAGTCATTAATAATTTCTACAACAAAAAATTTTTCAAGGAGATAAATTTCATAGTGTATAGTTATAGAAACATTCTTATAAATTAAAAAAGAGTTGGTTCTGATTTATGTGACCCTCTACTCTATTTCTGATGCTATAAATATTAACAGAAGGAGACTATCATCTTTATTCCTTGAAGTCAAACTGGTGATTTCAAATGGAGATGTGCTGCCTTTTGGCTAGCAGCACAACATCAACATATTCTAATAGCCCTGAAGGAGCCTGGTGGTGCACTGTTTAAAGAATGCAGCTGTTAACCAAAATATTGGTTTCAGCCTTTTGGTTTGAGTCAAAGACAGCTGTATGCATTTCTAAAGATTTGCAGCACTGTAGTTCTTTGGAGGCCTAGTGATTAAGAAGTTGCACTGCCAACCCTAAGACAGGCACTTTAAATCCGGAAGAAGGTTATAAATCTTGTGTAATTTATAACCCATGAAAACCTGCTAAATGAAAACGTGACTTGATGGAATGGAACAAAAAACGATAGTTCGGTTCTTCCTGCAGGGATTCTGTGTGTTGACCATGAGTTTGGTTTTCAAATTTTAATACTCATAATGTTGTTATCCTTGTTGGAGAAAGTAAATGCTGTGGATAAATGATTTCAAAATTGATATTAAAGGATAGACAAAATATTTTTTTTTTACAAAATATTTTTAAGAAAACATTTTTGAGCTTTATTATCATTAAAAATGCCCATCAGAAAAAAAATTATGAAAATTGTCATGACTAATCACTCAATATTTATACTCTTTGGTGCCAAGCTGTGGTTGACTCATAACTGATCCTCCAGAGGGTTTCCAAAACTGTATTTCAGATAGGTGGAATTTTCTCATCTTTTTTAAAAGTAGCCAACAGATTCCAACTGCTAAAGAGGCACAACATTGGTGTTGATAACAAAGCACTGGACACCACCAGAGCTAAATTACAGATGACACCAAATTAAATACAAATTACAGCACTAGAACTAAACTGCAAATTACAACAGATTAAATAACAGATTACATCATTAGAACTAAATTATGATACCCTGGTGGCCTTTTGGAAAGAATCTGTGTCATAATATCAAAGGCATACAGATTGAGGCCACCACTTTCTCCACAGGAGAAGATGGGTAATCTCATATACAATTAAGTGCCTCTGAAAACCCACTGCAAGGTCAGCATTGGGTTTATTTTGACTCTATGGTACAAAACAACAACAACAACAACAAATCAGTTCACTGACATTTGTATATTGTATTGATATTTGTGGAAATAAAAACAACCTAAAAACAGGTCATTCTAAGAGTAAGCTAATTTGTGATTTTGAAAAGATATTTATATTATTTACACTATAATATGTATAATAATGCATAGATTGGGATAGAAAAGGTACATCTTCTTATATATTGTCATAAAGGATATTTTGAAGCCAGATGTTAAATCAAATAAATGTCATACCAAATAATTCAAAGCATAGATATTTTTAAAATTTTCACTATCAACTAAAGCAGGTACATACGAAACACATTGCCAGTTATTGCTAACCAAAATTTATCAGGGAATTTATCCACATCCTCAACCTAAACCTTTCATTTTTCACTTTTTCAGCATATTGGACAGAAGTCATGAGCCAGAGATGAAAAATAACACAGCGATAACCACATTTATCCTTTGGGGACTAACAGAAGACCCTCAACTGCAAATTCTGGTTTTTATATTTCTACTTATCACCTACATGCTGAGTGTAATTGGAAATCTGACCATCATTTGTCTTATATTAGTGGATTCCCGTCTTAAAACTGCCATGTACTTTTTTCTCCAAAATTTCTCCTTCTTGGAAATCTCATTCACCTCTGCTTGCATTCCTAGATTCCTATACAGTATATCAACAGGTGACAGGACTATTACTTATAATGCATGTGCATGTCAACTGTTTTTTACATACTTGTTTGGAGTCACAGAATTTTTCCTCTTGGCTACCATGTCCTATGATCGATACGTGGCCATCTGCAAACCCTTGCATTACATGACCATAATGAACAATAGAGCCTGCAAAAGGTTTATCTTGGCCTGCTGGATGACTACATTGTTGATCATATTCCCACCTCTTAGCATGGGACTGGATCTGGAATTCTGTGATTCTAACGTCATTGACCACTTTGTCTGTGATGCTAATCCTATCTTGAAAATCTCATGCACAGATACATGGTTCATAGAACAAATGGTTATTGTCTGTTCTGTAGTTATCTTTATTATGACTCTTATATGTGTGGTTTTGTCCTATGCCTTTATCATCAGAACAATTTTAGGATTCCCCTCAGCTCAACAAAGGAAAAAGGCCTTTTCTACTTGCTCTTCCCACATGATTGTGGTGTCGATCACCTATGGCAGTTGCATCTTTGTCTATATCAAACCTTCAGCAAAAGATGAAATGGCCATTAACAAAGGAGTAACAATATTAACTACTTCTATCTCACCTATGTTAAACCCATTCATTTATACATTGAGGAACAAACAAGTCCAACAAGCCCTTAATGACTTAATCAAAAGAATTATATTTGTCTCAAAGCCTTAGAGGACGAATGATATCAACATCATTAGCATATTTTCCAGAGTTTTCATTGTATTATATTCTTGATCTATACTTATCTTTTTCTTCTCAGTACCAAGAACGATAAGTCATTTCTTCTTTTATTTATGGCAAACTTCTTTCAGAATGACAAGTTTCAACAAGCCGGCATTGTTTCAGAAAATCTAAGCAAGACCTCACCCTCAACTTTGCAATAGTAATGTTAAAAGATTGAAAAGCATTCCATAAAATTTTGCTTAACAGTGCACATGACTTTTCTAAAACAAATCTACTCAAAAAGCAAGAAATAATAATTTTAAGAAGAATTAGCATTATTTCTAAGTAATAAGGAAAATATTTTCAATCTCCTGAAGCATGTTTCGAGGTAAGGGGTAACATAAAAATTTTGATTCTAAAATAAAATAGAAAATATTTAAATTTAAACATATAGAGTTCTTGTTGACTAGATCCAATCCCAATAGAACAACTGAAAAGAACCAGAATTAAACTAAGGAAAGGATAGGATTATATTAGAAGTGCCTGATAAAAAACTAAAGGTTCACAAAACAGAGAAAGAAACCAAAATATATAAAAACAATGACCCAGAATATATACTGATATATCAACTAAAACATCAAATGTTTATCTTTGTAGTATTTAAAATAAGCAAAAACGTAGCAAAAAGTTTGTGAAAGATATTAAAATAGGACAATAAGACATCAGCTAGTTGAATATATCTCATAGGAGATAAGACAGGGAAGCTAAATGTGAAAACTATGCTCATAAAATAATTTTCTTTTAAATTATAAACAATCATTTCAAAAGTTTAAGATATGGACACAATAATACTTGTAAAAAAGACATACTTAAGTACTTGGTAAATTAGCTGGAATTTTTTCACAGCAATATTCCAACATATTAAATTTTTATTGCAATTATTCAGAATTAGGCCAATACTTATATGAGCCATGCCTAATAGTAGCACACTTCTTGCTTACCGTTCAGCTAAATACTGTCTACATAAGAGGTAGCCATCTACACAACTTTTCCACATGATGATTTAACATTTCTCACAACTAAAATTTATTATGTGAAGCAGGAGAGAAAAGCCCTGGATGAGATGCCTTGACACAGTGACTGTGGCAATGGGAACGGTGCATTAGAGACAGTGAAATTGGCTCAAGGTTAGGCAGGATTATTGTTCATAGGGTCACTATGAGTCATAGTCAATTCAATCACATGTGACGACTACACTGAACAGAAAAAGGTAAGAAAGATATGGTTAATAATAACTATCCTGCTACAATGTTTTCTATCACTAGCAGAATTGTAATTTAGTAATTTTAAAAAATTTGGAATATTAATTTTAAAAATTGTCCTATACATGGCTAACATTAGCTATAATATCCCTAGTACCATGACCTCTTCTAAATCTAGCCTGCACATCAGGCAGTTCTCTGTTGACATATTGTTCCAAACATTTTTGGATAATTTTCAGCAGAATCTTGCTTGCATGTGATATTAATGATATTGTTCGATAATTTCCACACTCTGCTCGGTCACCTTTCTTTGAAATGGGAACAAATATCTATCTTTTCCTGTTAGTCGGCCAGCTGGCTCTCCTCCAAATTTATTGACACATCTTAGCACATCCAAGGCAATGTCTGTTTGTTGAAATATGTCAATTGGTACGCCATCAACTCTTAGAGCCTTGTTTTTTGCCAATTCCTTCAGAGCAATTTGAACTTCCTCCTTCATCACCATAGGCTCTTGATCATATGTTATTTCATGAAATTCTTCTGTGTCAGCCAATTCCTTCTGTTAGAGTGACTCTGTGTACTCCTTCCATCTTCTCTTGATACTTCCTAGATCATTTAACATTCTACCCAAAGTATCCTTGAGTATTGCCTCCCATGGCTTGAATTTGTTTTTCAGCTCCTTCAGCTTAAGAAACACTGAGCAAGTTCAACCCTTTTGATTTTCTGACTCTAGCTCTCTGCACATTTCATTATAGTATCTTGCTTTGTCATCCCTGGCTGCCTTTTGAAATTTTCTGTTCAGTTCTTTATTTCTTGGTTTCTTCCTTTAGCTTTGGCTTCTTGGTGCTCTAATGCAATATTCAGAGTCTCATCTGACTTCGATCTTGGTCTTTTCTTCTTCAGTGTTTATAATGATCTTTTGCATTCTTCATGGATGAATTTCTTGCTATCCTCCCAGACTCGCTTGCTCTACGCTCATTGGTGCTCAAGGCCTCAAACCTGTTCCTGAGATGGTTTTGAAATTCGAGTGGGACAGAGTGGGTCAAATCTTGGCTCCTGTGGACTTAATTTAATTTTCTTCAACTTCAACTTGAACTTGCATGTGAGTAGTGGTCTGTCCCACAATCAGCACCCGGCCTGGTTTTCAATGCTGATACTGAGCTTCTCTACCGAGTCTTTCCACAAATGTAATCTATTTGATTCCTAAGCATACCATCAGGTGAAATCCATGTGTATAGCCTGCGTTTATGTTTCTTATAAAAGGTATTTGCAATGAATAAATCATTGAATGTGCAGAACTTTATCATTCTATCTCCAGCCTCATTTCTCTCACCAGGCCCGTGTTTTCCAGCTACTGATCCTTCTTCCCTGTTCCCAAATTTTGCGTTCCAGTCACCCATTATTATTAACGCATCTTGATTGCATGTTTGACCAATTTCTGACTACAAAAGTTGGTAGAAATCTTCTAGTTTCTTCTCTTTGGCTTTAGTTGTTGGTTCATATATTTGAACGATATTGGTATTCACTGGACTTCCTTGTATGCATATGGATATTATCCTGTCGCTCACCTCACTGTGTTTCAGGATGGATCTAGAAATGACTTTTTTAATTATGAAATTAACCCCATTTTTTTCTCACCTTTTCTTCCCCGGCATAGTAAATAATATAATCTTCTGATTCAAAATGTCCCATGCCAAGCCATCTCATTTCACCAAAATCTAGTATGTCAATATTTATGTGTTCATTTCTTTCTTAAAAATGTCCACTTTTCCTACATTCATTCTTCTCGCATTCCATCTTATAATCACTAGTGTCTCCTCACAGCTATTCCTCTTTCTCTGTGTTTCCATTTCTAAGATCTCAGTTTCAATTGCCATGTCTGTTAGTCCAAATGATAAGTGTGCTGGATTTAAAGGAGGTCCTGGTACTATGGATATTATAGCTAATGTTAGATGGATCTTGGCAGAAAGCAAAGAATACCAGAAGAATGTCTATCTGTGTTTCATTGACCATACAAAGGCTTTTGACTGTGTGGATCACAACAAGCTGTGGCTGACTCTGAGAAGAATGGGAATCCCAGAACATTTGATTGTGCTAATGCGAAACCTATACTTGGACCAAGAGGCAGTCGTCAGAATAGAGCAATGAGACATTACATGGTTCAAAAGCAAGAAGGGGGTTGGTCAAGGATATATTCTGTCTCCATAACTTTTCAATCTGTAAGCAGAACAGATCATCCAAGATGCAGGGCTGTACGAGGAGGAATGTGGCATCAGGATTGGTGGAAGAGTCATCAACCACCTGTGTTATGCAGAAGATACAACCCTGTTTGCTGAAACTGAGGAGGACCTGAAGTACTTGCTGCAGAAGGTCAAGGATTGCAGCATCCTATATGGATTGAAGCTCAACATCAAGTAAACAAAGATTTTCACCATTGGGCCAATTGGCAGCATCAAATTGATGGTGAAGAGATTGAGATA